AGGGGACCTGGTGTCCGGGGCTCTTTCCTGCCTTGAGGCTAGGATTCCCCACAGGGCCGTGGGCCTCCCTCCGCACCTTCTCTGAGGGAAGGCGGGCGCTCACCCTGGCCCCCATCTGAGCGGCTTGACTGCGGTCAGCTAAGTACGGGGTAAAAAAACAGCATCACCTTAGCCACGTGCGTTGATAACATGAAGAGTAAGTTCTAGTCTAAACGTTCTTACAGGGATCGTCTCCCTGCTTTACGGAGGAGGCGGGCTCGGAGGCCTGGAGTGACTTGTCCGGCTGGCAGGTGGCAGATTGGAGCCCCGCCCGGCTGACTCGGACGCACGCTGAGTGCGTGTGGCCCCGGAATTCACGGGCGCGGCTGGAGGGGGTCCAGAGAAGGCAGCGCGGGTGCTCGGCTGGTGTGTGGCAGGTCACTAGAGTGTGGACCTTTCCTCGAGAGAATATCCGTGCTCACGGATCAGGACTGGTGGGTGTGGTGAGGGGCTGGAGGAGGGCGGGGAGTCAGGCCACGGCCAAAGGCCCCCTCGTGAGCACAGCCGCCATCTGTGATCCCTGCTCTGTGCCCCACTTGGGTTTGTGACTAGATCTGTTTTCGAGATACGAAGTAAAAACGACCAGACATGCTGCTTCCGTCTGTCCCCCAGCCAGTGTCATCTGCTTTGCTCAATGCAGCAGCTGCCTGAGCCTGGGGCATGTGCAGTAGCGGCAAGAGGGGGACTCAGCTGAAAAGCGAGAGACAGCAGCCCTGGCAGTGACCCCATCACCTTGATGAGGTCCCCAGCAGTCATCAGCACCCGTGTGGGCAGCCCTTGGAGACAGTGGCCCACTCCTCCATTTGGCAGATGGAAAACCTCTTCTCTGGGTGCCTAGGGGGCAGTGCAGGCCCGGGGCCTGAAGCCAGGATACTGGGCTGTGCCCCTTTGCAGGCCCTGCAGCTAAGGCCTCCACAGATGAAAAGGCAGGGAGGGGACATGGGGCACAGGTCCCAGCAGAGCCTGTAGGCTCAGACCACAGACCACATTCGGCTTCCGCTCTCCCACTGTGCTCCAGCCATAATGGCCTTCCTGCACTTCTCTGCCAACCTCATTCCTGCCTCAGGGCCTTTGCACTTGCTGTTCCCTCTGCCTGTGAGATTTCCCACAGCTGCCTCCCTCTCTTCACACAGGTCTTTAATGTCACCCCGGAGGCCTTCCAAGACGACTCTGCTAATATCCCAGCCCCTCTGCTTTACCCTGTTTTATTTTTTCCCATAACTTTTTCTCTAGTTGACTGACTTGTACACATTTATCCATTTCCCCTTCCCCAACTACAATGAAGCAAGCCCTGTGACGGCTTGTTCCTTCCCACATTGCCAGGACCTGCAGCAGTGCCTGACAAATGATAGTACTTCTAGCTCCCATTTACTGAGGTCTGAGGCACAGCTCTGAGTGCGTACCGGGTGTCGCTCAGAGCCTCACAGGAGCTGTGAGGAGCCGAGGAGTCTCCTCTTCACTGATGCAAGTCTGGGGGTGAGTGCTGGCTCGGGGCGGCTGGTAGAGCAATGACAGCAGCCTCGACACAGGCCATGCCCAGCACAGAGTGAGTGGTGATGGGCGGGGAGGGAGGCCGAGGGCCAGCCCCTCTGCACGTGGCCGTTGGTGGCCTCTGCAAGGCCTCAACCAGCCCCAGCCCCAGCCGAGGAACGCAGAGGCAGGACTGGGCTCCACTCCAGCTGGGGTGGGGGACTCCCGTTCAGAGCCAAGCCCTCCGCTGCCTGCACCTGGAGGCTGGGGCTGCCCAGCTCCTGGCATTTCCCGCCTGTTTTGTCTCTAGGATGAGGCTGCAGGTCCTGGAGCTGAGGAAATGGCCTTCCCGTTCCTCTACAACTATTCATGGGCACCCACTGTGTGCTACACACTCTTCTGGGGGCTGGGGATTCAGCGGTGAGCAAAACACAGGAGTCTCTGCCCTCAATCTGGCAAGGGAGACTGGCAAGAAAAAGACGACATCCGACTTGAGGGAGCAGCGGGAACGGCATGCAGAGGGCTGGGATGGAGGATTTCCTCCTTAAGGTGGGGATTTAGGGAGCCCCCCTCCCCCAGATAAGGGGGGCAGGAAGTGAGGGAAGGAGCCCAGCCAGGGGGAGGAGAGTTAGGGGCAAGGAACGAGCACCCAGGGCCTTGCAGCCCTGATAAGGCTTGAGTCTCCTCCCAGAGCCGGGGAGCCCCTGGAGCAGGAGCGACACTGGTTTCCATTTGAGGAGGATCCCTCTGGCAGCCTGTGAATGGCAGGGGCCTCCGCAGTCCTCCAGGCGTGGACTGGGCTGGGGTCGGTGCGGGCAGGGAGGGGAGCTGGGCAAGGCCTGGATGTATTCCAAGGTCAAGCAAGTCAGGCCCAGATGAGAGGCGACAGAAATGATGCCCTAGCGAGTGGCAGGACATAGTTTCTGTTTCCTGAGGTGGGAAACCAGGGGAGGAGCAGGGTTTTATTTAAGTGTTTTGATGCTGGCAGAGGGTGGGCTCAGTCATCACGGGGGGGTTGGAGGTGTCTCTTAGACACGCGGGGGGGATGGCGAGAAGGCAGTGGACACAGAGACCGGGAACCAGGAGAGGGTCCAGCTGAAAGTCCCTGCAGAGGCACCCGAGTGCCAGCACCCCTGTGTCAGGGACCACATGGGGCGAGGAGGGCGCTCACAGTCCACTGGAGGCACAGCAGGTAGAGCTCAGACCAAGGGGAAAGCGAGAGCTCCAGGAGTCAGAACTGTCCGAGGCTAGGCGTCCACCGTGGAGGGGGTCACAGCAGGCTGCTGGAGGAAAGGGCACCTGAGCTGAGCTTTGGAGGGTGGGGAAAGTTGTGGACATGGAGAGGATGGGGAGAGCAGCCCAAGCCAGCCAGCCCAGGCACACTGGGAGGTGGGAGTGGATGGGCACACGCCGTGACGGCTCCGACCCCAGCTCTGCTGGAGGCTGGGGACCTGCCCGCCCACCCAGCTCCTGTGGACACTTGAGCTCTGGGCGGGCCTGGTGGGGGCCTGTAGCTGGGCCCAGTGAGGTCCCATGTGGCAGTCCTGGCACACTCCTGCCCAGCTCCTTGTCCAACCCTTCCAGTCAGAGGACAGGGAGTGGGGATGGCTCGATAGCCCGTCACTGTGGAGCCACAGGAAGCTGAGGCCGGGGCCCTCCTGTGGTCACCGTGTGGGTTCCTCTGACATACTCAGCCTGCCTGCCCCCAACCTGTCAGCCACCCAAAACCACCGAGACAACCGCTTCCAGGCGCTTTACACCCACTCCTGTCTCAGCCGTGGACAGCCGCCTCCTTCCGCGTCTTTAGCCACGGTGCGATTCTGGCAACTCAGTGTCCTCATATTTGGGCCCTGTCCCTTCCTTTCCCAGAACATCTGTCAGTCACAGATCCTGGGGCTCATGGTCATCATGGTGAGCACCCCCCACCCCCAACTTCTGCATGTCCGCCCACGGTCACACAGCTCCCTCCTGCAGGGCCTGCAGCAGCCTCCCCTGGGCCCTGCCGCCCTCTAACCACCCGCACCGGAACCGTCCAGGGTGACTGTTCATACAGAGCCTGAGCCCCACCCCAGTCTCCTGGCCCAGACTCTCAGGGGTGAACACAAACGTGAGTCACACCAAGGTGCCATGGACGTGCCCCACTAGTGCTCCGTGGCATGAATGTAACCTAAGATTGACTTTAAAACTCACAAGCACAGAAGCAGCAGAGGCCCTGCTCTCATCCTCCTTGGGAGGCCACCTTGTCACTCGACACCTGGGAGGAGGCAGGGAACATGAAGGTGACTGTGGAACTTGCTGGAAAGGGGCTCTGGAGCTCAGCGGCTGGCCAGGCTGTTCTCAGAAGCAAACTCCGAGGGAGCGGCTGAGCCAGCTGCTTGCTAAGCTGCTGAAAGAAGGGCGTGAGTCTCCAAGGATATCGAGTCCTCCCCACTGGGGTCGTTAAAGCGTGGTAGGTGAGGAGGAGTGTGGAGACTCTGAGGAGGACCAGCCTCCACTGTTCCCACCCTTGAGGAAGGCGGGTCAGGACCGTTTGGAGCCACAGCCCCTCCTCTCCGCCCAAGCCTGACCACCTGGACGGACGGGCTGCTTCCTGCGGCTCAGGTGGAGGCCACCTGCAGACAGCCGCCTCCAGCTCGGCCTCAGTCCCCACGTGGGGAGGAAAGCTGTTAATAACCGGCAGCAGACCCCTGGGCAGCTGGGGCTGCAGGCGAACCCATCGTGGGTCTGGCAGATTCTCACTCCCCAGCTGCCCAGCCACAGGGGACCCTCAAGAAGTCCTCCACCAGAAAATGCCACCACCTAAGGAGCCCCTTAGCTGGGGGGAGGGAAAGCGAGGGGCTCAGGAGACACATGGAGCTGCCTGAAGGTGCCCAGGGCCTTTTCTCCGTGAGGCCCGCCCCCAGCCCCGCCCCCAGAAGGCCCCGGAGCCTCTAGATTCTCTAGGCCTCCTGGTCTCCTCCACACCGATGGCTGGGCTGGTCTAAACCATCACCCGCTCGTGCCTTCCACCGTGGCCCTGGCACTGCGCTGCTGGAGACGGCCCAGCCTCTGCCCTCACAGAGGGTGGCCCTGGCCCCAGCCCCACCCTGCTCCTCCAGCACAGACCTGAGTGTGAAATCCTGTTCTCGAGATCACTTCCTCTACTTCCCCACCTCACGTGACAGAGATAAAAGAAAAAGAAAGGTGGCCTTGACCGCTGGCTTTGAGGCCAAAGCCCTCCCCCTCCCCAGACCCTGGTGCCGCCTTCCCGGGACGAAGCCCCCAGCAGCTATTTTTGCCTCAAGGGCTACTTCCTCAGCAGTGGCTGCCCCCTCCAGGGCAGGAGGCCCGTCCGGAGTACGTTGGCAGATGCTGTGTGAACTGCTCTTCGGGCCACCTGCACTGGGGCTGGACTGGAGGATGTCCGACCAGGAGCCACAGGGAGACGGGGGAAAGGAGGGCGGGCTCCTGGTGCCAGAGGAGATGGGAGACACCCCATACGTCACATCAGCCTCTCTCTCTCGGGTCCATTTATTAGAACCTGTTGGCCTATCCAGGACCCTCCTCCTACTCCTGGAGGCGGGCGAGCGCCCAGTAACTGGCCTTTCCATAGCACACAGCCTGGAGGCCTTACCTGGGCCAAAGCAGAGTCAGAAATGTTCCTTTCTGGCAGGGCCTCCTCCCCAGCCTGCAGATGTGAGCTCCAGTCTGAATGTAAACCCTCCCCAGGCTTCCAGCTCCACTGCAGCCCCGCCTGGCTCCAGCTCTGGGGCTTCCTTGAGCTGGGCTGGCCGTGAGTTGCTGTCTGCTGGCTGCACCGTCCACAGTGGGGGCCTGGGGCCGGCAGAGGCTGTGAGGTCAGAGGCGGCGGCTGGGCGTGAGCGCCTCGCCCACTGCGCCGCCCCCCAGGAGCCTAGCTGCCGAAGTACTCCTGCTGGAACTTCTGGAAGTCTTCCTCAGTGAACACGGGGCCCTCGGCCTTCTTCTTCTTCTTCGTCTTGGCCACAGGCCGGTCACAGGCTTTTCGGCCCCGGTTCTGACGCACAATCTGGGGGTGTAGCAGAGTCAGGATCCCGGGTGGTAACTCCGGGCACATGAGGGATTTCCTCTTGGAGCCGCACAGCCTGGCACAGCTGACCCAGTGCTGCCCTCCCACCTGGCCCTCACACCCTCCTGGGGGCAGGGCACATTGTCTCCATGTACAGAGGGGCAACATGAGGCCCACGAGGGTCACAGGGGACCAGGCCAGGTCCAGCCTCCCACCTTCCCTGCTCGGCTCTCAGCCCTCCCAGCACAGCAATGTGGTCCAGCTCTGAGGAGCCTGGTGGTGGCTCAACCTCCACGCTAAGTCTCAGGGCTCGGACCCTCATGGATCCCAGGAGCAGCCCCAGTTCCCAGCGCCGACAAACCTGCTGGGTGACGGACTCCGCCACGGCACTTCTGGCACTGGTCATAAACTTCAGGTTCACCCCCAGGTAGCCTCGACGCTCTCGCTTCTGGAACTCGGCTGTGGACGACAGGCAGGGTGGCATCATTTCGCTCCCTCCCTGGAAGCCTGCTGGGTCCCCTCCTCCACCTCCCTACTCCACCTGCACCCCGCGGCCCCGCCAAAGGCCCGTCATCCCGTCTCTGGATTACTGCGACAGCAGGGCTCCTGTCTGTCAAATCCACCCTCCACACAGATCCCGCTGAAAGCCCCCTCGGCTCCCAGGTGCTCAAGTGCCTTACTGGACAAATCCTTCTGAGTGCTGCCTGTGTGTCAGGCCCTGTGCTGGGTGTGGAGCACACAGCAGGAAATAGGCAGGCAAAGACGGGGAGCTTGGATTCCAGGGGGAGGGAGATGGTAGAGAAGGTTAACCGTATGTTAGAGGGCAATACATTCTATGGAGAAAAACAGAACAGTACACAGAAATGGGGAACGCCGGCAGTAGACGGTTGCAATTCTAAGTAGGAGGGTCAGAGAAGTCCTCAGTAAAACGATGTTTGAGCAGACTCGAGGGAGAACACGGAGATCTGGGGGAAGAGCATTCTAGGTAGAGGAAATAGCCAGTGCAAAGGTCCTGAAGCAGAAGTGTGACTAACAAGTTTGAAGAACAGAAAGTGAGTGGGGAGGGGAGAGCAGCTGGGATTGAAGCTGACAGGGGCAGACCACCAGGCACTGTAGGAACTGGGGTTTCACTGACTCCGATGGGAGGCACTGGAGATCGCAGGGCAGAGGAGAGCCGGGGCCAACTTATGATTTTACAAGATTGCTTCGCCTGCTGTAGTGGGGGCGAGATTACTGGGTGGGGGGAGTGGGAGACGGGAGGCCAGGTAGGACGCTTTGCAATAATCCAGGCAAGAGATGATGTAGCTCAGACCAAGGTGGCATCCAGAGGTGTCGTCTAGACTGGCCACTCAGACTCAAGTTCCCTCACTCATTAGTTACGTAGCATCACAGGGCGGTGGGGCAAGGGCTGGGATGGATGGGGGCGACGTCTGGCATCCTATGCTCCTGCCTCACACCAACATCACTGATGCTCACGTGTGTCTCCCTTTCCTGCCTCCACGCTTTCGTTCAGGCTGTGTTTCCTTCTCAGAATTCACAGTTCTTTTAACAGATACTGGAATGCATTTTATGCCCCTGGCCCTGGGGACTCAAAGACATACTGGGAGCTCACCAACTCCTACCACATGTCAAAACACCCCACCATCCTGTCCACACCTGTCCCCCTCCTTAAGTGGCACCTCACCCCCAAGATGCTCTACTAGAAAAGGGGCTCCATTCTGGTATTTCCCTCCTCCTCCATCCTCACAGTCAACTCTCCCTCTCACTGCATCTTCCCCGGCACATTCTCTTGCTAACTCTGCACCGTGGCCTCCGCCCAGGCCACCACACCTCCCACCTGCACGGAGCAGGTAAGAGCAGGGTTCTGAGACACACTGCCTGGCTTCTACCTGCACCGGCGGGGCAGGTGCCTGTTTCTGCATCTGTAAAATGGGGGTGATGACAGTACCGCCCTCGCGGGGATACTCTGAAGAGTTAAATGAGCGAACATTTGTACAGGGCCTGGAACAGCCCCGGGCACGCAGAGTATGAACTGTCTGTTAAATGCTCCATCTCTGACCCTTGTTCGCTATGTCACCTGTACCGGCTTCTCTTTCAAATTTCCAAAGGCCACAACTTCTTTCCGACTCTGCATGGGTCGTCTCTATGGAGTACCTGCCCCTGGCTCGCCCCTACAGGTCCTGCGGTCTGGGCTTCAACGTGGCGCCCTCAGAGAAGTCCGATGGGGCCCTTCACTCTCAGCCGTCTCAGAGCACCGGTCTACCTTCCTGGCCCCGTCGCGCTCAGCAACCACACGCTCATGTGGAAACTCCGACGCTCCTCCCCACTCCAGGAGGGCAGATGAGGATCAGGGTCGGCGTGTCTCCGCCACTCCCGTTCTCCCAGGCCCCGCTCCGCGCCCGGCGCACGGAGGCGTTCCAGAAATGCCCGGGGCCGCTTCAGCCCGGCCTCCCGCGCCCCCTCCTCCAGGACGCCCACCACCCCGGGGCCGCACGCCCAGCTCCTCCCCGGGCTCACCCAGCGCGGACTTGGGCACCTTTCCCTTGGCTGAGTTCCGCAGTTTCTGGGCCTGGGTCGCCTTCGCCTTCCGGGACCGCTTGCCCGGAGGCCCAGTGGGCTTGGTCTGGCCGGGCGCGGCGCCGGGGGCTGCGGGGGAAGAGAGAGGACCGGGCCGGGGTCGGAGGGCGCTCGGGGCTCCCATCCCACCCGGGCTGAGGCCGGCCGCGATCGTCCCGCACCCTTGGGGCCCCGGCCCCCATCCCCGCCGCCCTCCCGGCTGCGCTGGGCGTCCCCGGCAGGCCTCCTCACCCTCGGGTGCCCCCAGAAGCTCCAGGCCCCGCCGCAGCAGGGCCGCCGACATGGCTGCGCTTAGCTCCGCCCACACGCCCAAGCTACTTCCGCCTTGGCCTCCCGCGTCGTCTCCGCGGAAACACTAGCCGGAACAGAAGGTTCCGGAGTGGGCGGGCGGAAGTGCCCACCTTCTTCAAGACGCATGCGTTAGGCTTTTCGGTCGGCTAATGTGAGGAAAAAGGGGCTGGATCTGGAGGCGGGGCAAACGCACAGAAGGACGCACTTGTTGTCCAATCCCAACCGCTAGCGGGCAAGGCCACGCCTTCTCCCGGAAGCCGTCCACTGCTGGCCCAGCCTGGTTGGTCCAGCCTCTCGGGACTGGCCGCTCAGTAGTGGGCGGGGCCGGGGGCGGGGCCGGGGCGGGGCCGGGGGAGGGGCCGAGTGTTACCTTTCTCAATTTTTACGAACAAGGAAAATGTAGAGTCCGATCTCTTTTCGTATACTTCAACCAAAGCAATAGATCGAGTGCGGCATGAGATCCAGCTGTTTTCCATTAAGCCAGACGTTAAAGACATTTGCAAAAATACAAAACGATGTCAATGGTTTCCCACTATTTTGTTTTTTCTTTTGGAAGATACAACTATTTTCATAAAAATGTGTTGTTTATGTTAACATGCAATGGGTTTGTTATTATTTTAAATGAATTAATAAATATTTTAAAAATTTCTCAGTTTTAGTTTCTAATGTAAATATCAATTAAATATTTACATGTACAAAACCCTTTGGGCTCCGGAATTTTTTAAAGAGTGTAAAGAGGTTCTTAGACCAAAAAGTTTGAGAGCTTCCGGCCCAGAAATGACCCTTCTTGTAGCGGGAGGAACACTGCCCTGTACACTGCCCCATCTGCAGCTCCTGGCCGAGTCCGTGGCACAGAGATGCTCAATAAATGAGCAGTGGGTGAGGAGGAAGCCCTGAGTCACCGAGCAAACAGGTTCTGGGGGCCTTTTCTATGCCTGACTCTGTGAGTGTGACACGGAGATGACTCAGCTGGTCCTTCCTGGAGGAACCTCACTGTCTCGCCTCAATCGGCTACTCCAGGAGGGAGAGAAACACTTAAATAGATGCTAATAATAACAGACACTATGTGAAGGCACTGTTCTACATGTTTTGCATTTGTTAACTACTCTCCCCTCCCACCCCCCCACACTCTGAGGCAGGAACCACTGTTTTCCCCATTTTACAGATGAGGAAACAGGCACAGAGCGGCCGAGGAACCTGCCCAGGTCACACAGATGGTGTCAGAGCCGGGAATCAAGGCGGACAGCCTGCCCTGAGCGTTGGTGGGCTGCACTCCTGCACCATCCACCCAGGAGAGCAGTGCTGTGGCACTGAGTGGGGCCTGTCCAGCTGTGGGAGTCAGGAGGCTTCTGGAGGAGAAGAGGAGCTGACCACGTGGGAGGGGAGAGTCCTAGGCAGGAGGACCGCATAGTGAGGGCATGTCCCCTGGGACAGGAGTTACCCAGAGGAGCCCTGAGGGCAGGATGGTCTAGTTGATGTCAGACTCCTCCAGCTTACCCCAAGAGCTGTGGGGGCCCCGGAGAGTTGTCAGACATGCTCTTTTTTCCTGCTTCTAAAATAGCCAGATTGTTTTCTTATTTCTTATGTTTATTGTTTATTGTCTGTCCCCGCACGTCCCACTGTAAGCTCCACAAGGGCGGAGATCTTTGTTTTGTTCATTGTTACATCTGTAGCACCTGGAACAGTGAGGGCTCGGCATATAGTAAGGGCTCCATAAATGCACGAATTAGATGGATGAACGGTTGAGTTTGGGACGCCTGTGAAGAGTGGGGCAGAGATGTCCAGGAGGTCGCCAGATGTGTGAGTCTGCCCCTCAGGAGGGCACAGGACCAAGCTCTACCGCCCCCCTCATTCCTCCCGAGCTGGGGTGGTCAGCACTGGGGCCCGGGAGTGGAGAACTCATCGTTTTCCGGTGTCCCAGCGAACAGGGGCTCCTGGGGCCGGTGGCTTCCTGCCGTGCCCCCAGCTCAGCCCTGCGCTCACCCGGACTCTGCAAGGGCCGGGCGGCCTCTTTGGCCACGAGGTGGCGCCGCAGGACAGGGTTCTCGCCCCGCCGTCCAGGGTGGCTTGTCTCGGCAGGAGTGTGGGGTCGGGGCGCCCCTCGACCTCAGCTGGCCGTTTCCAGCCAGCACTGCGGGCCGGCCACAGCTTCCTGCTGTCCCTGCCCTGCGACTTTCGAAGACCGGGCTAGACACCCCTCGTGGGCCTGGCCTGGAGGAGTGGGTGGGGAAACTGAGGCAGAGGCACCAGGCAGGGCTGCCCCCGGGGAGATGAGGTCTCCTTCCGGAAGGGTGTGCAAATGACAGCTGGACACTCACTGCTGGGGAGGCTGCAGGTGGCTGTATGACCTTAGCCAATGCCTTAACAGAGAGTGCCTCAGTTTCCTCATCTGTTAAATGGGGCTTTGTAGTAACGTCCTGATAAGGTGGCTGTGAGGCGGCAGGAGCTTGATCCAGAGAAGCACCCAGCACAAGGGCTGGGTGGGTCAGCGTCCACGACTGTTCAGGGCCCGTGGTACAGACACAGCCACTGCCACTCTGGGTGAACGAGGTGCCAGGCCTGTCCTGGAGCCCCGATGGCTCAGGCCCGGGAGGCAGCGCCCTCCTGCTCTGCCCCTCTCCCTAGGGAAGGGCGGTCAGGAAGCCTCACAGGTGGGTTCCTGTCCTGGTTGTAAGACGTGGGAAGAGCTGCCTTCCTGCTCTGAGCTGTTTCCTCGTGTGGATGTGCAGCCTGGGGCCCTGCCTGCCCGCAGCCCTTCCTGGGGGCCCTCGGTGCCTGCTAGCTGGGGCCCTGGGCCATACAGGAGCCACACCACAGTGAGGGTTCTGCCGTCCTAGTCCTGGTCGCCCGCATGCCTCATCCCTGTCTCCTTCCTGGCCTTCCTGGCCCCAGCTCAACCTCACTAGGCCTCAGGGGCACCCAGGGCTCAGAGGGAGGCAGGGTCTTCTGCAAGGTCCCACAGCATTTCAAGAGCAGAGTCAGGACTAGAACCCAGGTCTTGGAGTCCTGAGCAAGAATGTGCACGAGTATGTGCAAGTGTGGGTGTGAGTGTGCATGGCGGGGTGTGTGTGTGGCCTTTTTGACTCGTGCGTTTGGGGAACACCTGGGATCTTGTCATTTTTGCTTTTCTCCACCTTTCTTTCTGGGTCTCTTTATCTCCTTATCCCCACCTCTGACTCTTGTCTTCCTGTGTTTCTGTCCTCTCTCTTTCCATCTCTTCCTCAGTCAGCCCCTGTCCCCTAAGCTCCTGGCCTCTCTCCACCTTCAAAGTGAAAACCCAAATGGAATTTCCAGTTGCCTTTTCCGACTGCGGGTTGCGAGTCTGCGTGTGTGCGCACCTCTCCCTTCTCTGCGCCCTGCTCTGCATTACCGCTCAGTCCTCTCTCCCTCTCTCCTGCTCACCTCCGACTCCGCCATCAGTGGCTTTGAAGTGCATTTATATGAAAGCTCAAGAGAAAATCCGTTTCCGCACCATCCGGCTCTAAATTGACTATTGATGGGGGAGTGGGCTCCTCTCACCCTCTCATCTCCCCTCCTCCAACCTGCTCAGGGTCTCTCGAGCTTTCTGTTCTAAAAGGTGATGCTGTGTTTCGTGTCTGTTTCCTTCTGACCACACTGTCACCAGGCAATCACTCCTCAGTTTCCTGGGCCAGCATCCTCCTGCATGGAGGAGGGGATTGTAAGGCGGTGGGAGATGGGAGATGGGAGATGGGCAGGCTGGGGGCATCCCCAGGGGTCTGGGGCTCACACAGAGGCTCTGGGTTCGACAGACTGGGCTTGCACAGCTGTGTGCCCAAAAGCAAGCCGCCTTCCTTCTCTGGGCCTGTTTCCTCCTCTGTGAACTGGGCTTTGAGAAATATTGTCCAGCCCTCCTCCCAAGGCTGGGGGGGGAGGGGTGCCCAGAGCCCCTGGCTCCTGGGTCCCAACGTCTAGAGGGAGCATGGGTTCTGTGCAGGTTCAAATTCTGGCTTTTTCATTCACTAGCTGTGTGACCTTGGGTAAGTCACGTAACCTCTCTTGCCTGATTTCCTCATCTGTGAGTTGATTATAATAATAGTCCCCACCTCCTAGGGTTGCTGTGAGGATTGACTGCAAAGCACTTGGAAAAGCACACTGTGCACAGAGTAAGCACTGAATGTTCGTAAATAAATGATTGCCATGTGGCCCAGCTGTGTGCCCGTGGGACCTGTGCCCACATCTGTGTGCGTGACCTGCCATGTATGTAGCTGCTAGAGCTCCATGCTCTTGTGATCAGCACACGGGGAGTTTGAGGCCACAGAGAATGATGCTCAAGAGCCTGGAGTCAGCAGGTGTACATTTAAATGAAGCCTTTGCCACTTACCAGCTGTGTGACCTGAGGAGGTTATATCACCTCTCTGAGCTTCGTGGAGGGTTTAGTGGGGGCTGGCAGTGTCTCCCTCACAGGTCTGTTGGAAGGTGCAATGAGAGGTTGCATGGAATGTGCTGAGCACTTGGCCTGGCCCTTAATCATATATTCACTCAACAAACATCTGCTGGGCACACACTAGGAGACAGGCTGCATGCAGGAAAGCAGATTTGAGTGAACGAGGGCCTCTGTCTGGGCCTGGTGGTGCTTACACATTTGTGTTACACTCTCAGCAAGTGTGAGCCTCTGCTGCCCCCTGACGGCCTGTGTTTGTGACCCCAGGGTTTGTGGGGTTAAGGGTGGTCCCCACAAATAGGCCTCAGGGAGGACCATCTGGGAGGGCCAGGCAGAGAAGGGTGGCTTCTTTTCAACAGTTTGAAAAGATAAAATTGTTGGCAGGACTGATTTAAGAACTTAGTAAAGACACAGGAAGAAGCTGCTGGAAATTCTTCCTGGGGATCTGGGGTCGGACGATGACTCTGGGTGGGCGTCAAAGGTGGAGTCCTTTTAATGACTCAACCCTGACCAGCCAAAGACCCAGCTCTGCCACTGAGTCGCTGTGTGCACATCCCTTCCTTCTAGGGCCTCAGTTCCCTCTGGGGCAGGACGGGAGGGGTCCCCCGGCTCCGCCAGGCCCCCAAGGCCACTGAGATGTCCAGAGGTTACAGGGAGAAAGAGGGGAGCTTGGAAGACTCGG